GCTCCCAGGAGAAGAGAGAACCCGCTCCCCGGAGAAGAGAGAACCCGCTCCCAGAAGTTGTTTTCTGGCTTCTACAAGCACACTGTGGCACATATGTGCTCACGTACACAAACACATGCACATAAGCAATTTTTTTAAACTAAAAAATGTGATTTGGGAAGAGGTCCTCTTGCCTGTGACAGTAATAAAGGTGATCTTGTTTTTGTTGGTTACTCTTCTGTTGCCGTGATGACACATCACAGCAAGGCATCTTATAGAAGAGGGTTTATTTGGGCTTATGGTTCTAGAGGGTTAGCGTCAATGATGGTGGGGGCAGCCTGGAAGTAGGTGGCAGGCGTGACTACAGGGCAGGAAGCTGAGTGTCCACAAGCAAGAAACAGAGTGAACTAGAAGTATGTGGCTTTTCACTCTCACACCTACCCTAGTGACATACTTCCTCCAGGGAGGCTGCAGCCCTTAGCTTTCCCCACACAGGACCAGCTAGGGACCAAGTACAAATGCCCGACTGTGGAGGGCCAGAAGGGACTGGTGGAGAAGCAAGACAGTCTCAGAGTGCTGTCTTTCACTGGTGTGGCTGACGAGTCCCTTTGCTTTTCAGGAGGACTGGCCCTGGCCCAAGTACTCTTCTTCTATGTGAAATACTTGGTGCTCTTTGGTGCTCCGGCTCTGCTCATGCGCCTGGATGGACTCACACCACCACCCCTTCCCCGCTGCGTGAGCACCATGTTCAGCTTTACTGGGATGTGGAGGTCAGTCTCATAGTTTGCTTAAGTCTTTTGGGTGTGTCCAGTGGACTTGCTGGATTCAGAGAGTTTGCCTACTGTTCTTCCCCTTTACCAAAGCCACATGTGGTACTACACATTCTTTAGCCTGCTAACGTGATGGTAGTCCACGCTTTCTGACCTCCACGAGTGATCATCAAGCTGTGGAGGTAAGTGAGGCAGGACACACACAGGACTTTCTTATGGCTGTGAGAAAATACCCTGACCAAAGCAATTTAAGGGAAAAAGCTCATTTTGGTTCACTGTTTGCATGTAAAGACCAACATGGAAGTTCTAGACATGGGAGCTTGGGAGGCAGCTGGTCACATTGCACCTGCAACCAGGAAGCAGGCAGCAGTGAGTGCTGGTGCTTTATGGTTCTCCATAAAGGAGAAGCTGGTGCTTCTCCTTTATGCAATCCAAGACCCAAGCCCAGGGAAGGGTACCACTTGCCCTTAGAGTGTGTCTTCCCACCCCAGCCAACCTATCCAAGATGGTATGCCTGGAGGCTTGTCTCCCAGGTGAATCTGGATCTGCTCAAGTTGACAGTAAATGTCATCACAGACATGCTATGAGGTCTTCATTACTCTGCTTTCCTTGAAAATGACTGTGTAAATCTCACTGTTGACTAAAAACAGGCTGAGTGTAGCAGCCTAGGCCAGCGCTCACTGCCATTCACTCATTCTCAGGTTTTGAAAAACCTTCTGTTCTGGTTGTCTTGTCTCTTCAGTAACAGCAGTAAGGTGATGTGTACATCTGTCTCCCAAAGTTCTTTTGAAGATGAGGCAAGCCGTGGCAGATGTTTCCAGATGTTAGCCCTCAACTTGGTGTTGTTCCCGGGCAAGGTTTTGTGCAATAGACTGAAGTTTTCTCTGAGTTCTTTCACTGTTACTGATTTTTTTGTCTCCCAAACTTATGATTGGCCCAGGAATTTTTTTCCTAAAGATCTCCAAGTTCCTGGTCATTTTTGATGGCTGACTTCCAGAAGGATTTGTTTGCACCTGTGTTTTTCTGAATGTGTCCAGTGTGTAACAAGGGTCAGGACTGCTGCTGCAATTGCAGACCCAGTGGAAGAGGCTCAGGGTGGGCACTGGCTCAGCAGGGGAGTCAGTGCCTACTTAGAACCTGGGCTCCGGTTCCCTGGATGGCCTCTTTCTCGTTCTGGCCCTGCTCAGAGTTACTGCTCTGCCTCACTCATCACTGTAGACCCAAGACAGAGGTAGCAGGAGAACTCAATGAGTGTTACCGTGTCCCATGCTGCTCTTCT